TGTGCTTTTTAATTGTCTATTGTTTTAGTATAATATTGTCCATATTTGTGATTGACCTATGAGTAATTTTCACGAGCAATGTACTTGTGCACTATGGCCTTTATGGCTGTGCATTTTCACTATAGGTCCTCGCTGGTGGGTTTTCGTCGTATTTGTACACCTCCTCATAGTTTCATGTGATGTGTGTGTGCGTTGTAAACTTGTCGTGTGTGCACTATAGTACGTATGTGTGCGCATTTGCTTGTGGCGGTTTATGATGTGTATGTGTGCATTTCAATGTGAACATGTGCACCGTGCAATTTTAGAGTGTGCACAGTGTAAGTATAAGTGTGGCATGTGGCATGTGTGCATACGCTTCTAGTGACATTGTTATACATGAGTGCACACAGTCGCCCAGAGCACACCACAACACCCTACTGTAATGACATATGCTCCATGTATTTGTCTCGCTAAATTAAAGTATTGAACATTAACAAAACAATCAAATTTTCTAATATTTAATAATAATAATAATAATAATAATAATAATAATAATAATAATAATAATAATAATTTATTATTCTTTTGAAACAATAATTTATTATTTAAATGAAAGGATTTAATAATATAGAAACTCCTATTTTGTGATTGACTTACCTATTTGGATGGAAGTTTAGAATTTTGCCTGGACTGATTTGTCCCTTAATTGATATTTATGGAGATTTAGATTGCTAATTATGTGCATGAATTTAAGGCGTTGACCTTGAATCTTAGCCGTTGATCAGTTATTTTCTATGACTAAGATTTGTCTATAATTTCTATGGCAAGCCTCTCTCTTTGTATATAAAATCAGTAGCCAAACAAGTTAATAATATATTTTAACAATCCAAACTAAACACATAAGGTAATCTTACATTCTGAAAATTGTACATTACCTTCCAAGAAGTAATCTTATTATCTAAGGAAATATTATATTTTGTGAACCAAACACCTCTTAAAAGATTTTAAAGAAGAAACATTGTTACTTTTCCTATCCAAAAACTGAATACTTGATTTTGAGACCGTAAAATTTGCTTGCTTATAAATATCTTAAAAAAGAAGAGAGGATACACATGATATAAACTTAATTTTTGAGTTATAGTCTGATTATTTTTAACTCCTAAGTTATGTTCAAAGTGATAATTTTAATCTTGAATGACCAAATTAATCATTTTATTACTTGACATATTGGTAGAAGAAATAGTTCTGAATAGATTAAAATTATCACTTCACACATAACTTAATAATTAAAGATGGTCATGCCCATAACTTAAAGACTATGTTTATATCAAGAGTATAGCTTAAATGCAAAAAATGTAGTTTAAAAAAAAAAAAAAAAAAAAAAAAATCTTTCTTTCCCGTTGAAATGGACCGTCAATAAATATCTGACCCGGAATCTAAACTACCAAAGACCGGTTCGCAAACCGTATCTAAAACTAAGTTTAATCTCGTCACTTCTCATCCATACACACCCTATCAGCCACTTCAATGGCTCTCACCGGAAATCGCATCCTCTGCAATACTCCCACCGGAGCACCGTATAGGCACCTCCCTGTCCGCCGTCCGTTCCTCATACCATGCTGGTCGACCCCGTCCTCGTCTCAGGGAAGAAGTCATATCATCGTCTCGGCCGCGAAAAAGGGTAGGTTTGAGAGCAAGAACAGAACGGGCTCACTTTCAACCAAAGAAAAAGTTAAAGAAGATGAAAAACAGGCGGGTCAGCCTTCTATCGGAGCTGAAAATGATGGCCCGGAAAGCCCAATTGCCGCTGCCGGCGATGCGTTTGTTATGCCGGAACTTCCCGGCAAGGAGACTGATTTTTGGGAAGGTCCTCAGTGGGATGCTTTTGGATTCTTCCTTCAGTACTTGTGGGCTTTTGGCATTGTTTTTGCGGTATAATTTCAATCCCTTCAATAATAAGTTCTTTTAAAGATCAAATGCTTACCACCGTGTCAAGAACTATAGCTACCGGAAGTTATATCATGAACAGGATTCACCTTGCAAGGTGGACCCGAGTTCAAAATACACAATTTACATACCCGAATACACACAATTTACATACAAAATGTTCACAATTGATATACTAAATGTTCACAATTTACATACTTAATGTTTAAAATTTACATACTAAATGTTCACAATTTATCTTTTACAAATTTGTAAACATTCAGAATGTAATTCAGTAGGTAAATTGTGTATTTTGGAGCTAGGTCCACCGAATAATTTTCTATAGCTACCGGCTTCTACCCAACAATCCCTCTCACCAGTAGCAGACAGTCTTAATTGCTGTTGTTAGAACTTAAACCCGTGACCTGACTCTAATATCACCTTTTAGGATCAAACGCCTAGTAGCGAAGTCATAACTTTATTTCCTTATATTGCTACACATTTTCAAGAATCAAGTGCTATAAATTTGGCCTCCGCCTAACAATCATCACCACATGGTGCTGGACTTCCTTACGGCTTCCGGTTCCATAACTAATAAATCTCTTGTTAAACGTACAAGTGATCACTTATACAGCCACCAACTTATTTGATTTTTTAAGTAGGAATTAGCTATTTAAATTATCTCTCTTCTCTTCCATATTTTATACCAAATAGAGATAGACAGAAAATTTTGTGCCTAATTTAATAGTGACAGAGTACTAGTTTGAATATCAGAAATGTTGAGCTGTTGATATGTTATTGAAAGGTGAAACTTGGGTGGTATTAGGTGAAGGTCTCATTTATTAATTCTTGATAGTCAAGTTATTTATTGGCTTTTTCTATGATGGGTGATAGTGTGATACATAGTTTTTGGTCTTGGTGCTCTGGATGAGCAGGTGAAAATGATTGTGTTGAGTAAAAAAATGAGAAGATGGTTACTTCGGCAGAACTTTGCTTAGAAGTTTATCATATTAAATGTTAAGAGTCCCACATTGAAAATGTTGGGCGTTCGAGTTGGTCGAGTCTAGCCCCTGCTTGATTCGAAACGTGGTGCTGTGACTTATCATGGAGGGATGTAGTTAAATGGTTAATGTTTATCTACTTATCAGTAATTGGTTTTAATAGGATATGACAACCAGATAGTCAATCAACTCTGTGATTAAGCATGATAGTGCAGAACTGAAATTCATCAGAAAATATAAGAGAGAATATATACTTAGGTATATAAGTCAATTGTTAGACTAGCTAATTGATTAGATTTCAGTCTAATCAATTAGCTAGTCTAATTGATTAGACTAGATTTAAGAAGACAGTATTGAGGCAGACTAGGCAACATGTAATGATAAAGTTTAAGTCTTTTTGCAATCATGCTGTTTAGAGGACATGTGGTAGTTGTTCTTTAGTTGTTGAAAGAGAGCAAAAGAATAATGATTTGTCAGCTCACAGTAGAAAGTTAGGATTTGATTTAGATATAAGATCTGATCTCTACAAATTTCTTTAGTAGTGCGTAAGTGATAAGCTTTGGGTGAAATAATTCTTATACTAAGGTCCACTTTGATCTTTTCTTGAAACATCAAATTTATTACTATGATGCAATTGGTAGGTATGGCATCATAAATAATTGCAGGTGAAACTTACTGAGCTCTTCTGAGGGGTTAAGATCATCAAGTCATATCATATAATTGGATAAAAGTTGAATTTGTTTGTGGGGGCAAAACATCTTACTAAAAGATTGTTGCCATAGAATATGGGAGTTGTAATTTTTTTTTTTTTTTTTTTTTTGAGAACATATGGAAGTCATAATATTAGTTGAACTACTCTTTGGCTTGATGTTAGACAAGAATATGTGGCATAAAATATTCAATCATCCTTAAAACCTCTCAATCATTATTGCATGGACCATGGTCCACATAATGTGTGGACCATAAATAAAAAGTACATTTTTAATATATTAAAGGTACATTATTTATGTACGTAAGGTACATTTTTTGAAAATACATTTTTAATATACGAAAGATACATTATTTTATATAATGTATTTTCAATACAAAAATAGTTGTACCTTCAATACAAAAATAAAGTACCTGATATTCATGGTCCACGCAATTGTGTGGACTATGGTCCATACAATAATTTGCCCCTCTTTCATGGGTGTACAAATGTGGCATTCTTCTATCTTTCCCCACTAAATAAATATGCTATTAAAAATGTACCTGATATTCATGGTCCACGCAATTGTGTGGACTATGGTCCATACAATAATTTGCCCCTCTTTCAGGGGTGTACAAATGTGGCATTCTTCTATCTTTCCCCACTAAATAAATATGCTATTAAGAATTCTAATCACTGCAAAAATCGGCCTAGGTAGCCGCTTAGGGGCCGATTAGGCACTAGACGCCCCTATGCCGAGGAGATTTCACCCTTAGGTTGACATTAGTCTGCCGGTCGATTAGTCAGCCAACTTGGCGCCTAAGTCGTCCAGCTTGACCAACTCGGTCAATTATTTTTTGTTTTTATTTTTTGTAAAGTGTGCAATGTGTACATATGTGTTTTTCTTACTATTATTACTAGCCTGCCTAGGCAGCACCTAGGTGCCCCCGGATGCCCAACTAGTGCTTAGCGCCTTTTACAACATTGATTCTCATTAGTTGATATGTCATTTATGTCATTCATTTTGCAGTTAATTGCATGTGGCATTGCTGTTACGACATACAATGATGGAGCAACCGACTTCAAGGAGACTCCAGCATACAAGGAATCAGTTCAGTCACAAGAACTCCTAGAAGGACCCGAAGCATCTGATTCAGATGTCTTTGAATCCAATCCAACCGAGGAAGCGCCTAGTTTGGAATAGCTTCTTCTAATCAAGGCTGGTTTAGAGCTGAGATTGTGATAAATTGGGTAATGACAAACTTATTCTATGTGTATTCCTTTGATATAGAAGTGATATCTAGATAGCCATGGAAGCCAAAAACTTGAAAGCATACTTTCAATGAGGAATCAAAGTCTCATTACATTTTCTCTTCTTCTAAACTTTATACCCCTCTTGCATATAATATGGTTAGACCCAAAACATTGAACACCAAGAAGTGAGTATTACAACCATCAGAGAATCCTTAACATTTATGTTTACACCCGAGCTATGCGGATATCCAAACCCTATTAAACCAGGCATCCTAGGTTGAACTGTAACCACGGGAGAAGCTGGAACCAAAGACAATGAAGGAATTACTGAAATGTTTATGTAACTGCAGAATGGAGTTGTGTATGTATATATGTGCCTTACCTGCAATAGTTGAGTTGTGTTTTGGCCCCGATGAAGTGGGTGCGAATGGCGATGGGGGTTGAGATGGCGGCTGAGTAGTTACCCGAGGAGCTAGCAAGAACGATATAGTTAATTAACACTCATCATCATTAAAACACTACTGGAAATTATGAAATTTCCGACCACCTGAAAGTGATCTTAAATCAAGTCGAAAGCCTTGTTCTGACCACTTTTTGGTTTCAACTTGATTTAAGATCACTTTCAGGTGGTCGGAAATTCCATAATTTCCAGTAGTGAGAAGTGGAATAGGGGAAATCGTTATGTTGTTATGTTAGATACCTGAGCAGATGGAGGCGTCGATCTGCATGGTGCAGAGCGATGGGAGCTGAAGGGCTAATGTGGTGTTGATTGGGAAATCGCTCAAGGTGGAACCATTGATCAAGAGACATAGGCAACTAGGTTGCTGGGCGTAGAGTTGCCGGAGGTTAATGCAGCATTGCAGGGCAGGAAAGGGCACTGTGCCCTGCACAAATGGTCCACAGGGTGCTAAGGGCAGCAGGTAAGGGCCACATTCAGCAATGCTGGGGGGGTCTGGTGGTGAGTTCCCCACTGTTTGTGAGAGGGTGGTAGGGAGAAGTAGAGAAATGATATGAATAACAGCAAGGACTTTTGAAGAAGCCATAGGAAAATGCAGTGTTTTTTTTTCCTCTGTGGACTCTAGTTTTCAAACTCTTGGTAGATATAAGCAAAGAAGATTGCATTTGTGTGAGTTGCAGCATGCATCATGTGTGTAATTCCATGAAAAAGGCCACACATTTTGTCTGAAAAATTGAATCAGAAAATGCAATTTCTGTGAGGCATCTGGTCTGTTTTTTTGACCATCGACATAACAGCAGTAATTAATTGTTGTCCCGGCAAACCATTGGTCTTGTTCCCTCCTAGTGATATACGTAGTATTTGTTTTTTGTTGGATCTCAACACGGCATTATACTTACTTCTCAGTAGGTCACTTATTCTGTAAGTCAAATACGGTTAACTACGGAGTTCTTGAGTTAGAGTTAATACCTCCAATGGTCCCTCGAGTATTGTGCTTTTACCAGCAAACATCCTTTGAGTATAAAATGACTAGCAAATATCCTCCGAGTATCAAAAAGTGACCGCTAAATGTCCTCCGAGTATCAAAAAGTGACCGCTAAATGTCCTCCGAGTATCAAAAGTGACCGCTAAATGTCTTCCGAGTATAAAAAAAAATGACCACATGTGGTCTTCCGTTATCAAAGGCATGAAAGTGGCATTACATTCACGACTCATTCAGTTTACCCTTCAATTTAACGCTACTCTCACACATTTGCTGACGGAAGTCTACGGGTGGTTACTTTTTGATACTTGGAGGACGTTTGTTGGTCATTTTATATTCGGAGGACGTTAGCTGGTAAAAGCATAATACTCGAGGGACCATTATTGGAGGTTAATACTCTCTTAGATTATCTAATTGTCAATCATTCTTAAACCATTTAACCACATCCCTCCATGGTAAGTTTTAACGCCATGTCTTAAATCAAGCAGGGGCTAAACTCAGTCCACCTGGCCAACTCCAAACATTTTGTTCCACTAATCTGCCCCAAGAAGTACAGCTTGCAGCTGGAATAAGGTGTGTCAAATTCCATAAAGAAGAATATGTAGTAAGTGAATATTCTAGATTCCTTGGAACCTTAGACATACTGACAGTAACCCTTCTGAGATAACGAGGATTAACTCTGAGGATGTTCCAAGATAATATCAAGGAAGCTAAATGAGAAAGTCTGGCAAGACTGCTTGGAATTCAAGCACTTCACCCTACAAATCAGCATATCTAGAAGTATAAGACACTAAAAAGAAGTGATGCCCTTTTCTTTTGCAACCTTGGTGCTTTTTGATACTCCACTTAAGAGTGGTGCTTTCCTCCACTTGACGAATAATATATAATGGCAATACTTATAAAGGCCGTGTGAACCATAGCCTAAAACGACGTTGCTTTTTTAATTATAAAGAGATAGTACCATTAACATCGCCAATAAAAATTGTGTGATGTGCATTTTTTTAATATAAAAGCTAAAAATTGACCTTTGCCTTCCAAACGATGCCATTGCTTATTCCTCAATTCCATTGGTGCAACGACTTGCTTTCCCAACTCCATTGCTAGAACCGTGAAGCTTCGTAAGGTGATAATCTCGTCATTCTACACACATATATTGCTAAAATGTATTCAAACAAAATACATAAATTACATTTTCTACATAGGGTTTAGACTTGTTGCTAGAAAGTATTCAAACATAAATGAAACTGAATAGTGTTGTATGTGCTTCCACTAATAAATGAACCTCTAGTTATTTGAAAGTGAACCTAAACAAGAAAGATAATGTACGTCATATTTTATTATGTGTATGCATAAAGCTCATTATTTTACATTATTTCTATGCACATAGTTCACGAATTTGATCTGTACAAAATGATTGAAGGTACATTATATTCTTCCAAAGGTTGAACCCCAAACCTAAGGGCAAAGGTACATTATATTATTTCTATGAATAGGGTAAATTATTTTTAGAGTTAACACCCAATTTAGTCCTTGACTATAGTTATTTTTTTCGATTTAGTCCTAAACGATTTTTTGTGCTTAATTTGGTCATCGACTTTGGTGGTTTTACCCAATTGAGTCCTCGACTATTAGAATCAAGGATTAAATCGAGAAAAGTCACTATAGTCGAGGATTAAATTGGGTAAAATCACTATAGTCGAAGACTAACTTAGGTAAAACTACTATAGTCAATGACTAAATTGGGTATTAATAGAGGTGAAATTATCAAGTTATCTTAACAGAGGACTCAATTGAGTAAAATCATCAAAGACGATGAACTAATTAAGGACAAAAGTCGTTTAGGACTCAATCAAGAAAAACCACTATAGTCGATGACTAAAATGGGTATATACTCATTATGTTTATGCAATTATGCATACAATACATTATTTGAATATGTACAATATAGTACGAAAACATCATGAGAGTTCACTATTTGTGTGCATAAGGTACATAATTTGTGTGCATAAAGTTCATTAATTATATACAAGCTGATAGAGTGTACATTAATTTTAGGAAAAATTGTAAAAAATGTCCCTCTATAATATGTCAATTATCAATGTCAACCCTAAATTATGAGTGGTGTAAATGTTGCCCCTCAATTATCAAAATGGTGCACATATAGCCCCTCCCATAACGAACCTGTGGTTCCCCGTCACTGTCCATCGCTGGTACTTCGAATCGAGGGAGGGAAAAAACAACTAAATTACATATCTACCCTGACTTAACGGTGTCGTACACTAACGGGGAACCACATGTCCGTTAAGGGAGGGGCTATATGTGCACCGTTTTGATAATTGAGGGACAACATTTACACCACTTATAATTCAGGGGTGACATTGATAATTGACATATTATAGAAGGACATTTTTTACAACTTTCTCTTAATTTTATGTGTCACGTACATTATTTGAATATGTGTTGATGGTTTATTATTTAAGCATGCATATTTGTCTCATTTATGTTCTACATAAGGTTCATTATTTATTAAATATTTTATTTCTTTGTTGAGCATGATTAGATTTATTCAGCACGTACACCCCAACCTCCCTCTATTTAGAAATATGATATTCAGTAAAAAATCTTGTGTATATGTTATGTTACTAACATGTTAGTTGCAAACAAATGCTTTGCAATGATGACCTCGATTTGACCCTTAAAAGAAGTAAAGAAAACATATGTAAAGAGAAAAAGAACAAGAAAAGTACGTAGAGAAGAATGAGGTTGAAGGCACATGAGGTCATGCCATAGAACAACATAAAAGGAAAGGCAAACAACACAAAAAGAAAAAGAATATGAGGAAGAAAGAAAACCAACAAAGGGGGAGATGGAGCATGAGGAAGATAAGGCTCTACACACTGAAGAGGGAGAGAGGGATGAAGACGAAGTTGAACATCTGACTTCTGAATCGCTGCTTAAAACAAGGATGACACCACTTGAACTACAACGATTGGTTGGAAAGCTTACAAAAGACCAAAAGAATGAATGCTATTAGAGATGTCGGCTTAGGTTCATAGTTGAAGTTTGATGTGGTATGCTGGGATAACAAACTAAGCACATATTTGGTGCAGATTTTTAATGTGTAGAGATGTGCACTAAAGTTGGAAGAGGAGGAAATGTTATTGACTTAAGATGACGTGGAGAGCACGTTGGACCTTTCAACAGGTCAAAATGAAGTAGTGAATGCAATAACTCTAATGCCATTGAAGCCTACAATAACTTGTTGCTTGAATGGCAGAGACATTGGGGAGTCACGAATTGCTCTCCACTAGTAAAAACAATTTCCCAGGGGATTATTGAAATGAAAGAACATGGTGGCATGTTCAAGATGGATTTTGTTGTTTTTGTGGTTTCATACTTGTTTAAAGAGCACAAAAATATAGGTATCAACCTCAAGGTATTGTACTCTCTACTAGACATCGACCAAATCAAGAATTTGAATTGGTGTACATACCTTTTCACGTCTCTTATTGAATTAGTAGAGCAATGAAAGAAAAAAACTAACTTCTTTTTACACTAGTCCACTTATTTTTCTAGTAATACTTCCAATCCTATATGAACTCATTATATATGTTGTGTATTATTTTAATATATATCTTTTACTTTCTTGCTAACTAACTAACTAACTATAACTATATATATATATATATATATATATATATATATATATATAT